TACTAATGAGACGAACTGATTTGTAATCTCAAAGTGATTAGCATTTTTTAACTTTCTGTGTGTTCGTTTCCACGTGATGAGGTTTGTAAAACAGTTCTTATCGGCATAAAAGGTGATAGTCTTGTTTTTCGACCATAATTTATCCCTTTGTTTGTTCTGTATTGTAACTCTCGTCATCTTTTCGCGCCGTTTGTTGACTCGTACTATTCTTCTCACGGCCACTCCATAGAGTGCCTGACATATTTAATTGCCGTAACTTTAAAATAACATCACTTGAGATTTTACTGAATTTAGAAAGAGTGAATAACTAGACGTACCTTCCTGGTACGCTTCGGCAGCAAATCAGGCTCGTTTGTTATCGCCAGGGGTATATTGGCTCGACTGCGTGCCAAAATGGTACGATTAGGTGAGAACTGGGTGAAATATCTATTAGATCATGCAAGAAAGAACACGTGGATGATTGGCGCTGGCAAGAAGAGCGAGAGTTTTTCAACAGGCCATTTTTTAGTGCAAAGCAAAAAGGCAAAAAAGGTTATGAACTTCAGTGCCTTCAGAGGATGAAGTCCAACATCACATCACAATCTGCCGCTTCAATTAAACAATGGTCGAAAGTAAAAGTGAGGATTCTGTTACAACTGCAAAGAGAGCTGAGGTGAGTCTGTATGTGTTATCATTTCATCGGGCGATACGATCCTTTAAAAGTTTCAGTAGTCGTACTTTAAAAATCTTGCTCGTGCTAAACAGGGCATGTGTTTTGCTGTGGGTTTGTGGTAGATGTTTGAAAGCTCTTCGTGGGTAAACAAACCATGCCTTCCTCGAGAGGTCGATTATCGTCGTGGACAAACTCGTAAGAAATACACCATTTGCTTGTTAGCTGTTAGTTCAATGTGGCCATCGTGAAAAAAAACGAAAAGTGATTGTGAGTAAGGAGCGTTTCCTTGTAACTGACTATTTAATACGCAATCAGGTTTGGAGAATTTGATTTTAAAAGTGTTGCATTAATATGGCCAACTTTAATTACAGGAAAAGGAAAGTGGAAAGGGAACATGCCTGTATGTGTCCTCAGCAAAAAGTTCAGATTCAACAAAAATCATCATCAAGAAGCTGGAGACCATTAGGATTTACTGTTAACATTAGGAATCAAGCATTGCATCAGCTTCACAGTTATGTGCCTCCATGAGGATGGCTCTTATTGTGTTGGAAGACTGTGAAGAAAACAATTTCATTGAGACTATCAAGTAAGTATCCCCTTTGTTTGTAAGTCTTTCCACTCTTAAAGACTTCATTGTGAGTGGTCAAATAAACTTCAATTAAATGCATGATAATAAACACAAAAAAATTAGACACTTCTGATAGGCTGAAAACAAGTGCATTTTCACACAGCACAAGTGCAAAGTTGTAACACAAGTGCATGTTATAAATAGTATGCTGTTAAAATTGTGAATAAGTGCTACACATGTACAAATTGCACTTGCCTTATGCACTCTTGCAATTATGTTGTCTTTGAAAAATTTACTTGTGCTTATTATCACCAAACTGTTTTGAAAAGTTATTACCTGAACAGGATTCCTTTAAAATGTTGTATGGATTACATGCAACTGCATGAGTTAGCATTATGAAGATTTCACATTGTGGATTGTGGACAATAAGTGACGATATAAACTTAAGGGTAATTTTCACTGGCTTTTTGAAGCTTTTAACTATGAATTTTCTCTGAACATTTTGCTTTCAATAACTTTTCCATAGTTTCTCGGTTATGAAGGCAAACTTGGTTCTAAGATGCACCTCAAACTTAATAACTTAGTCAAGCCAAGTTCCCAGACTGAAAATTACATGAAAATACTTGGTTATAAGATGCACCAAAAGGATGAGAGTTAACAAAAGGATTTAATGGAACTGAGAACAATTATTCCTACACAACTGGCATGCAAACTCTTTTGTTAAAATGTAAATAAAAGTGAAAAAGTCACACATTTAATGATCTACATAAAAACCAAGGCTAAAATTTCACACCTGATTATGAATATTCAATGATCCTGATTTCATTCTATTAACCCTTTAACTCCCAGATCCAATTTGTAATTCTCCTTACCATCAACCATACAATTCTTACAATGTTCATTCAGAGAATTTTGTTTTGGATCAAGTAATTATCCCCAAATTGATCTTTTCCTTTAATCTCATCATTTATCTAGTTGCTATTGTATAAATATTTTAAGGAGAAATTCTGTCTTGGTCACCCATGGGAGTTAAAGGGTTAAACATCAACCAACTGACTTCTTGTGCGATTGCAAATAGCTAAGCACTCACCATCACTGATATGACCTCAACTTCAAGTTGAAAATTGTTGCCAAAGCTGAGGCAGTCAACAACAATCGTGAAATTGCCCATGAATATGGCATTTCAGAATCCATGGTGTGAAAATGATACAACCAGCAACATGTCCTGTTTTCTGGTGGGCTGCCGATGACAGCAAAGTGTGCATCCTTGCAACACTACAAACCAAAAGACCTGAGTTGGATATCATGTTACCGAGCACGTGCTCTTGAGCATGTATGCAAATTTCCACTTGTTTGCTTTTCCATAGAAGTTGATTTAAATGTTCTAAAAGCAGTATTTGTTTTTAATTCATAGGAATAAAAGTTTGAATTTGATGTAATCTTCGCTACACCTCAGACTAAAAAGCTCTGCTTTTTCTCCTTTTTCTCTCAACAGTTAGTGTCCTTTTCTTGTCTTTTTAACTACAGTATAAGTTCTGCTAAAATTTTGATATCAAGATTTTGTTGTGCAAAAATACTTGGCTATAAGATGCACCTCAATTTCAGCATTAACTTTCCAACCAAGGAAAGAATTTTCTTGTAAAAACCATGTGCCTTAGAGCCAAGAAAATACGGTAGATTCTCTTTGAACATTTTGCTCCATTTCTTTCTACCAAAATTTGTCACTATGTATTTTGCGGTGTTTGTTTCCCAAAATCTGTGGAAGATTCTTTCTCTCCTGGACAGTCATGGCCTCAGTGGCTGTTTCAATGAATATACTTGGTCATCATAACCTATTTTGTTTCAACAGATCACTGAAGGATGATGATACAACAAGCACACACCCATTGTATTTATTTCTTCTGGACCCCTGTCAGGTAAAGCTGTTCCTTTTGCCCTGGTTACTTATATCACCATGGTAACTGGCCAAAGTAGCCCTCTCTTATTCCTTATTAAGGGTTAAAACCAGTTATAACACGTGTTGGAAACATAGTGCCCTTACCAAAAACAACATGCACGGAAAATGTTTACCAGATAAGGGTAAATATTACCTGAATGGACCAATCAGAGCACTTTGTTTCGCACTGGGTAAAGTTTACACGACAGGAGTAAACTTTACCCAGTCAAAAAAGACAAAACAAAACAAAAGAGAGGGAAAAAAACCAGGACAGTTGTCAATTTAACAGTGGATTTCTTTTTTAAATTACCCAGCCAATTGGTATGTGCTTTGGGTCAAAAATTCATTCATGTTTTACTATTACTACTGGTACTAAGCAATGGAATTAACTGCAAGCAAATCAAACCACCAAACCAAATTCTTTTTAATAATTGGTAGCTCATTTTGTGAAACATCTTGGTTCTGGTTCTCAGTTTCTTCCTGGACATACAACTTTTTTGAAGCAAACACAAAACAAAATTAAAATAATTTTAATTTTATGGCTCTCAACAACATTTTCAATATGCACACAGCTTCATTACTCAGTTATATTAATTATTATTAATTAGCTGTGTGCATATTGAAAATGTTGTTGGGAGCCATACACAATAATTGGTCCCTTTGATAAAATTGTAAGGTCACTTGAAGATTTCTTAAAATGTTCTCTCAGTTATAATTAGGTAGATTTTACTTCAATTCAGCTCATTTCCTTTTCATTTTATTGTGACATGCAGTATAGCCCTTTTCAGTCTGGTGAATACTTGCACACCTTGCAAAACAAAATATAATTGCCAAATAATAATGTGATTCATGTAGCTTTACAAGGGAGACATTGTCTTAAAAATTTCTTCAACATGTTGTTGCAGTTACTCCCAAATCAAAGAGGCCTGGCATTGTTAGAAAAAGGAAATTTGATGCAGATTTTCTATCATCAAGGAACAATGATTGTGAAGGTATGATATTTGATTAACCCTTTTACTCCCATTAGTGACCAAGAAAGAATTTCTCCCTACAATATCAATACAATATCGAGTGGACAAGTGATGAAAATGAAGAAAAATATCAGTTAGGTGATTATAAGTTGACTCAATACCAAATTCTCCAAACTAACATCACAAGAACTGTATGGCAGACAGTGAGGAGAAATTATTAATTAGATCTTGGGAGTTAAAGGGTTCTAAAGGTGCTATCTAATGGAACAAGCTGCAAAAGGAGCCAATACATTCATAACTTGCAAGCCTTTGAAAACTGCATACCATGACTTTGTGTTCTCTCAAAATTATAGTTTTCCCTGCTTATAACCTCCTGTAGTTGCCTAGTTGTAGGTCAGAGTAAGTGGGCTAGTTGTAGCAACTTGTCTGCTTTATGTGTTTAGCACTTGTTTTGTAAGGATTTGATAATATTTGATACTTTATATTTGAAAAGTTTTGGATTTCTTGATGTCAACACCTAGAGCTTCAATGTGAACCAAAAGTTGGCTGCTGACATAATGTACAGTACTTACTTACCATATATGGGATGGAGCAACTCATCCTGCAACCTAAATGAAGCACTCCTCCATCCTGTTGGGACTGTTTTGGTTGCCCTTGTAATATTATGTAGTGTTAGTAGTACAATCGTGCACTTGAGGAGAACTTTTGAGATTACTCAAGCTTGTGGTTTTACATGTATGTGATGGTCTTATGCAGTACAGAATCCCTCTAATTCCAAGTTTTAACCAGGTGCTACAACAGCAAGCCCTAAAGATTGGCAAATTCCAGCCTCAAATTGGGGTCTACACGCACCTTCAATTTTGTCATATTTACATGGCTATGACAGCTAACAATGTGCATATAATCACATTAATCCACTCTTGATCCCTTTATCACCTATGCATCAGTAAGACTAATCATGAGGAGAAGAGTGGTGTGCCTATCCCAGCAAAGCAAATGTCATGGGGTGATGTGAACCACACACAGCTGCTGCCACTCCATCCATATCACTATTATCATCATGTATCAAATGGTAAAAGTAATGTTCATGTAAAGAAAGACAGAGGTGGCACAGAGAGCACCATTATGTCTAGTGGGTATATGCAGAGTGATAAGTGGCAACCTTCAGTGGTAACAAAAAGAAGAGGGCAAGAAACAGGCCGTGGGGAAAGGCCACAAGACATTTCCTCCACAAAACAAAAAGAGGCAAATAAAAGCTGGATGGCTCAAGTGCTAATTACAATGACAAAAACAATCAAGCTGGAACAAAGACAAAAGCTGATAAAAGTGATAAGAGATTAGCCAAGAAAAGAATGTGAATGCAGAAGTTGCTCCCTAAGGTATGCTTTTTGTCAATTACTGATACCATAACTAAACAGTTTTCCTAAGATGCAAGACTGTACATACTACCAGAGCCTGGAGCTGACTTTTTATCCTGTTGACCAACTCACTAGTGACCCCCATCTCTAACTCAGATAATTTTCATTCACTGGTATACAGTTGTATGCAAAATTTGCAAGTGACAGTTCATGCATTAAGTAAATTACTCAATGTTTGAGCAAAATTGAAACTAGCTTCCTTACTAAATTCAACATCATAATAAAACAATTTGGTCCCTTCAATTGTAGTGGACAAACTTGTCAGAAATACACAATTTGTTCATTAGCTGTTCAATGTGGCTAACGAAAAAATTACAAAAATTATCTGTGAACAAGGAGCTTTTCCTTGTCACTTACTATTTTTAAATAGTAAGTGACAATATTAAGTATTATTATAATAGTAAGTTAATAAATAGGTAGTCAGGCTTGGTGAATTTTACAAGTGTAACAGCTGTATTAATATGGCCGACTTACTGTAATTACAGGAAAAGGAAAGTGGAAAGGGAGCATGCCTGTGTGAGTCCTCAGCAAAAAGTTCAGATTCAACACAATCATCATCAAGAAGCTGGAGACTATCAGGATTTACTGTTAAGAAGGAATCAAGTATTGCATTAGCTTCACAGTTATGTGCCTCTGTGAGGATGGCTCTTATTGTGTTGGAAGACTGTGAAGAAAACAATTTCATTGAGACTATCAAGTAAGTATTCCTTTTGTTTGTAAGTCTTTCCATTCTTAAAGATTTCAATGTGAGTGGTCATTAGTAAAGTTTGACAATTAAATTCATGATAATATACATGAAAAAATTATGCACTTCTCATTGGCTGAGAACATGTGCATTTTCGTGCAGCACAAGTGCGAAGTTGTAACACAAGTGCAGATTATAAAATTAATAGTATGCTGTTGAAATTGTGAATAAGTGCTACACGTGTACAAATTGCACTTGCCTTATGCACTCTTGCAATTATGTTGTCTTTGAAAAATTTACATGTGCTTATTAACACCAAATTGTATTGAAAAGTTATTAACTGAACAGGATTCCTTTAAAATGCTGTATGGATTACATGCAGCTGCATGAATTAGCATTGCAAAGATTTCATTTTGTGGATTGTGGACAATATGTGACAATGAATATAAATTTCAGGGTAATTTTCACTGGCTTTTTGAAGCTTTTAGCTATAAGTTCTCTCTGAATATTTTGCTCCATCTCTCTTCACCACAATTTGTCACTATGTATTTCGCTTGCTTCCCAAAAACTGCTGAAGATTCTTTCTTCCTTAGACAGTCTTGGCCTCAATGGCTGTTTCAGTGAATATACTTGGTCATCATAGCCTTTTTTGTTTCAACAGATCATCAAAGGCATGCAATGAGCACACACCCATTGTATTTATTTCCTCTGGACCCCTGTCAGGTAAACCTGTTCCTTTCTCCCAGTAGTTACTTATATCACCATGGTAACTGGCCAAAGTAGCTTCCCATTTGAGACAGAGCCAACCTCCTTGACTAGTGGTATAAGAAGAGGCTCTGTAGAAGTGTAGGTAGTTGTTAAAACTAATTTTGAGAAAAAGAGAGTGGTCAAAAATCTATTGTTTATTGTACCTGTAATGATGAACCTATGTCATTGAAGCTTTACAGGCCAGTGATTTTCCATCTCCTCATTTTTTTCTGACATTTTGTATGAGTTAATAGTCAGTCGTAAATGATAGAAAAGTGTGTTGTATTGCATGTCTAATGAAAATAACAACTATACAAAGTCAAGTGCATGTAGACACAACTTAATATATATTTTGCCCCTTCTAAGTATTGGTTCAAAGATTTACAGTGTGTTATTGAATATGTTTCTTATGATATAGCTTGCAAATATATACTGTTGCAGAAGGCAATAACAAAAAGTGGTAGCTTTTTAAGAAAGGGTAAATCAACTATAAGTTTCCTACATGTAGTAATTAACAACAGAAAGATTGACTGGTTTGAACTGTTCTCAACAATGATTTGATCTTTTTGTTAATTCTTTTTTACTCCTGATTGTAGTGTGCAATTTTTTTTAGTTTTGATTGACAGTTGTTACAGTGCTGTTAGATGTGTGACTATAAATTTACAAGTTTTTCCTGGATTCTGTCAGATACTTGATGCAAGAGCAGTACATTGATGAGCTTGTGTTCAAACGCTTGACACTGGAGTGTGATCACCTGATAATGCAACCAGGACAATTTGCAGGTACATGTATCTATCATGTAGAGTTTGGTTGAGTCATGTTTGCTTTTTCATTGTAAAATGCCTTACATTATTTTTCAGAGTATATTCAGAGTGACAGTGAATTTTGAGTGGTGTATTAAGCCTTAATCCCTCTCTGAAAAGAACACATTTCCAAAAAAAAAGACAAAACAAAACAAAAGAGAGGGAAAAAAAACAGTGGATTACTTTTTAAATTACCCAGCCAATTGGTACATGTATGTGCTTAATTCATTTTTTACCGTTACTAGGCAATGGATGTAACTGGAAGCAAATTAAACCACTAAACCAAGTTCTTTTTAATAATTGGTGGCTCACTTTGTAAAACATGTTGGTTCTGGTTTTCAGTTTCTCCCTGGACATACAACTTTTTTGTAGCAAACACAAAACAAAATTAAAATTAATATAATTGGGCAATGAAGCTGTGTGCATATTGAAAATGTTGTTGGGAGCCATACACAATTTGGTCCCTTTAGGAAAATTGTAAGGTCAATTGAGGATTTCTTAAAATGTTCTTTCAGTTACACTTATTTAGATTTGACTTCAATTCAGTGCATTTCCTACATGTATTCATTTTATTGTGACATGCAATATAGCTCTTTTCAGTCTGGTAAATACTTACACACCTTGTAAAACAAAAAATATAGTTGCCAAATAATAATGTGATTCATGTAGCTTTACAAGGGAGACATTGTCTTAAAAATTTCTTCATAATATTGTTGCAGTTACTCCCAAATCAAAGAGGTCTGGCATTGTAAGAAAAAGGAAATTTGATACAGCTTTTCTATCATCAAGGAACAATGATTGTGAAGGTATGATATTTTATTAACTCTATTACTCCTGTTGGTGACCAAGACAGAATTTCTCCTTACAATATCAATACAATATCAAGCAGACAAGTGATGAAAATAAGGAAAAATATCAGTTAGGAGATTAAAAGTTGATTCAATACCAAATTCTCCAAACTAACATCACAAGACCTGTATGACAGACCGTAAGGAGAATAATTTTGATTCACATCAACGCTATTAATGTTATTGCTTCAAAACAGGATTTTTCATCACTGGATAAAGTCACCATTTCCTTGGAGGACATGGAGAAGAAGGTCATGGAAGTTCTTACAAATGAAAGAAAAGCGTTTGGAATTAGGGACAAGCAGTCATGAAAGCTTTTATAAGCAGAATTTTCCACAGTAAATGTCCACTGTTATTCGCTTGCTCTAAAAAAAGAGTCTTAATATGTAAAGTAATCAATAATTATCAATTTTACTACTAACAGTGCATGTAACAATACCAAACAAAAAATGTCATGTTGGAACTAGTGGTAACATAGAGAATTGTAATGAAATGTTTTGTAAACAAAATAGTGAGGAAATCAACATTGCAACAGTCTGGTATTTACAGTTTGAGTAATTTTTTAATTACTAATTACTTACCCAAGAGCTTTTTGGCAATAATGAAATTGATGTATTTCATTTATTCCACTGCATAGTTATTAACTTTTAGACCCTACAGCTTAATGAGTAAAGATGCACATCTATTCCTTTCAAAGCTCAATCCCAAATAGATGCAACTGACTTCTATGTTAGAGGTCACATGAGAAATATACACTTGTGATAAAAAAAAAAAAACTTATTGAATTTTTGGATCGGGCAACTGCCCACCTACCCCTCCCTAACTCAACAACAGTCAATTGACAACAATTTACAGTGTAAGGTTGATGTTGGGTTAGGGGAGGTAGGTGGGCAGCTGCCCAGATGCTGATATTGATCCGAATTTTTTAATCAATATTTACATGTATACTTATCAAAGTTACTGGCAATAAAATTATTCTTGTGATAAGAATTTTGGTTCTTTATAAGAGAAAGTGGAGTTAAGAGTGTGACAGGTCATCTAAAACAAACCTGTCAAGTACAAGTTTTAAATTACTGATTTTGAAATATGCTGAGGCAGTCTGACTTTGCACTTCAGAAGTTTGCAAATACCAAATCAACAACAAGGACCTTTAGCAGTAAGGAACTGAGGCAACGCCGAAGAAGACGTCACTTAAAAAATGTATTTATATTTTATGTTAAAATTTTGCGGATGGCTGGGTGTGTTCACGGTTTCTTACGACGCTTCACTGAAACTTCAGCATAACGTATGTGGGCCGCTTTGAGTTCCAAATGGAAACTTATTTTAAAACTTCCGTTCACAGATCACGCAAATTTTGGTGATTTCATTTTGTTTTTTACAGGGCAGCTAAGTAATTTACAAAGGTTTAGTAGGTACCTGCTGATCAGCTATTATTTTGCCAACTGTTATGATATTTTGTTTTGCCTTGTCCTTGTTGCCATTGGCGTCGTGGTTCGCGTTAAGGTCCCTAGTACTTACCCTGTAATATAAACTTGGTCGTAAACTTTGTCGTCAAGACAAACAAAAAGTGCTTGTGTTGTAGAAGTAATTAGAGTTTTGGCGCAATTTTCGCGGCACGAAACTAAAGTCGGTCACAATGAAAACAACAATGTAACTATTTGGAGGCTCAAAAGGTTACGGTTTGTAAAATTCAGCTAGTTGCTCATAAAATCCCCTTATGACAAACTTTAGAGCAGTGATTCATCCAAAGCTGTTAGACCACATGTACATTTTTTTTTTCCTGCCGCAGTGATTGGATCAGTCTCGCAGTGCAAAAGATATATAAAAACATTAGAAGAATGAAACTTGTCAATTTTCGTCAGTGGCCGCTCAACAGTTACGGTCTTTTATTTCAAACACGAGGGTTGCGACTGGCTAGAATGCTTACCGCTCCGTTGATATTGCGTCATAAGATCAAATTGAAGCCGATCTACACGAACGATTACGATGATTTACCCCTATTGATTATAATTCTGGCTTAACTGCAGTGACCTCAGTGAATGGCGAGTATCAAATTCCAGCCGTATGAGCTGTTCAGAGATGACGTTTCACCGATAGAGATCATGTTTTAATCGAATACCTTAAATTTATTGGTCTAAATTTATGAAGGAATGAAAACACCGAAATCTATATTGCTTGCATTTGAACATTGACTTTTAGTCAGCAGTAAAACCTATCAACCGAGATTTATATTTCATGTTAAATCGAACAGTCTACGAAGTCAAAAAAGAGCGTCCCCAATGGCTATTCGGGATCCGGGATTGGTCTTATTTAGAGGCCGGGATCCGAGAATCTAGTGTAAGAAGGGGGCGAGATGCGGGAATGATGTTATGCCGGCGGGACAAGGGAATCGGCGATTTTAAGGGGCGAGATACGAGACTGAAATAATCACTTGAACGAACCAAGAACGGGAATGTCCGTTGACGAGAATGAAATTGATCGGATCTGGTCAGCGACACTTCAGTAATTGCGCAGGAATGAAAATTCTATCAA